CCCACGACAACGACGCGCCACCACGGACACGGATTAATTGGATTAATCTCCAACACTTACGCCGCGAAGTGTCGAATTCTTCGCCTACAACGAAAGACCTGGGGTTCCCCGCCAGTGCCGTTAACGCGGACCCGAGTGCAGCGTACCTGCAGTGTCTGTAACAGAAAAACATTTGTATAAGTTCTAGCGTGTGCATCAGTTTAAATGTTGTTGAAGGACCTCGGCCCCGAAACAGAGCATGGGAATCCGGGATCTCCTCTTCACAGTTGCAACACCCTATTCCGAACTTCTTTATTTTTTCTATCGTTTTTCCGACACTTATAGAAGGAAGTCTACGTTTTAAGAAGGGGGATTCCTCACTCGCTTCTAATGTTTCTCTGTTACAGACGCCTCTTCCCAGTCAAGCCGTATTCCGGGTATTTGTTTACAATCCTTTTTGTATGACGGAATCCTGGTAAGGGACCCGTTCTGGGGACTAGGAATTAGATGGCAGAGAGGTTAACCCCTACTTGGAGCATATGCAATTTGCCTAACCTAACTTGAAAATATTTTTTTCTGTAGGACCGTTTTTCTTTTCTGCAAAAAGAATTTTCCTGTCGAGGAGCAAGAAAAGCCCGACGTTGGGTCAGGTTAGTTAGGTAACTATACGTGACTGTTTGTTGTCTCCAAATTGGCAGCCTAATATTATTAAGGGATACTTCTGTTATTGTTTGTAGGAAAGCAGGATTTCCCTTTCCACACGAAGGGTTATTTATTTATACCTATTGAAACCTCCGATGAATATTTTGATTCTTAAATCCAGTTCGCAGAGAAGTTAACCCCTACTTGCAGAATATGCAATTTGCCTAACCTAAGTAGAAAGTATTTTTATCTGTAGGCCGATGATTCTCTTCTGCAAAACGAATTTTCATGTCGCGGAGCAAGAAAAGTCTGATGTTGGGTTAGGTTAGGTTACTGTATGGGAGCGTTTGTTGGGTCCGAAGCGGCCGATCCTATATATTACCTAACCTATACGTATACCTATATATATTGCCTAACCTAACAGAAAAACATTTTTAGCAGGGAAGTAACATTCTTTTCATGAAAGAATATACGTTTTTAACCATCCAATTGAAGTTGGATACCCCTTCCTTTGTTTTATCGTAGGACAGATTACCTACTAGTAAGCCACTCGCGATCAAAATGCAAAGGTTGAAGAGGACTTCTTGTATTAAGTAATAGGCGAAAATGCCTACTTCCCTGTAATGTTGTAATTGGTTGTCCACTAGAAGTTTGCATTTTCTCCCGCACAATAGTTTTGCAATGCAGAGGAGGCATCCTTTTGCTGGGTCCTCCATAAATTTCATCCTCGGAAGGAGGATGGCTAAGACGGGATATAACCGCAACATTGTGAAATTCGCAGGCTTTAAGCATGGGCTGCATTTAGAGCAGGCCTCCACTTCCGTTTGGTAATCGACAAATCGGATCATGAGAGTTCGGATGCAGTTCCTCCGTTGTGTCACACAGAACCAACCAATGATCGCATTGTTCCCTTTTATAACGTCCACAGCAGAGGACGTTGAGAATCGCTACCTCCTCTCGATAAGAGAGCACATTCGATTGTATGCATACGAATTATCTGACAGAACCACACACAATGACTCCTGCCCTTTCCGCCCGCATCTGCCTGTGCCTGATTGTTGCAGGAAATTGTAGACGGAGGGTGGGTAGCCAATATGGAGGATCCCACCATACTCAGGGTTGTCTATTCCGAGAGAAATGGCAGAAGTGCCCGTCAGAACTTTGATACTGCCCGCTTTCCATTCTAAAAGCCTTCTCTCTTTTTCTCCATTTGACGTCGTAGAGTCTATCAACTTGCAGGTATCCCCTCTCCAACGAGCAATTCTGCCATTTCCCTTACCGCTCCCTACTCTCCTTGAACACAAGGAGGTGTTCCAGTACTGGAAATGAATTGAGAAGGACCGTTGCTAGTAGCCTCCCGTCCTTCTCCACCTGTTTCTCCATGTTTTATTCTACAAATATGAGGTTATCTTTAGCATCAACCCAAAGCAGCAAAGAATAAATCAATGATGAATAAAAAGAAATAATACAGTTCACTTACAATGAATTCCCAGTATGTATTGGCAAATTTTAACAACAAGAATTAAAGTACAATTAAGTACATTAAAGTACACAGCATCCACAAGGACCACGACAAACAGTCATCTCGAACAATTACTCAATCTCTCTCAATCTATTCTCACTGTAACCATGGCGAACACCACCTGCCTAATTGACAATTGGTTGTATTCCTTAACATTGACCTCTCGGTAAGTAATATTTCTTCGAGTTTCGAGGACCGACAGTGTATTGTCGATAGACACATTTAGGAGGGACATAATGAATTTCTGTTCCAACGAAGAAAGTGTCGCCGACAGGAGGATCACTTGCTTTTCCGCGACTGTTTCGAAGTATCTGTCGAAAAATCAGGGGCACGGCGTCAAGATAGTGTTCCAAGTTTATAGCTAGTAGAGTATAACCCTCCCCTTTTTTGTGAGCTGGGCACAGTAGAACGCCATCTGAATGCCCCTCTTGACGAAGAATGCATAAATCCCTATTTATAATGGCATGCAGGTTTCCTTGAGGGGGGATCGGAAATGCTGGCAACAACACATTTGCATCAACAGCAGTTGATCAACATCGGCAATGATTGATACTGAAGGCTGATTTCCAAACGTACGCTTCAGCTACGTTTGACACAATGCAGCAAGGTTGAATCTTAGTGTTTAACACACGACTGTTCGAAACATGACGCGAACTTAGCGCACTGACGTAGGCTAGCTTGGCGTTGATGCTGCCGTAATGAGTTGAAAATTTGTCACCTTTTTGCTTAGAACAAATCGATCTAAGGTAGATGATGAATTAAGAATTAAGTACAACAAACTTATAGTCAAACATAGTTTAGGTAGGTTAATAGTTAAATAGACAGTTCTGTGCGTAGTCAAATTTGAAAGCACCAGAAGTCGAATCAGTTTTCGGTTTCTGTATGATTTTTTCCCGCATCGTTTTTCGGGTATCTACTCGCTTGTACACGCTTGCTTTCGCTTTGTATACTTCATTATCGGCTACACTCATCCTCAGGATTTGCGCGCAACTTTATTTGGCACTCCGTACAAAAATCACAAACGTCAGTTTTTGGCATACTGAAGGCAAATTCGTTTTGCGATCGGAACAATTTCACATAATGAAAATAGCCACATTTTAAGTCTCTTTTCGTTTTCGACTTATAATAGACTGTGAAAAACGCGTATTAATAAGTGCTTTATCGGGATATCTGGATGGGTAAAATATATTTTCTAGTTTATTTGGTATATGGATGGTATATATATTTTAATCTCGCAAACCAGTGGTCCAAAAATAAAAATGTATAGCTCGCTAGAAAGCTAAAATCTTGTAGAACTATATGATAATGTATGTTTAACTTTTTTGTCGTTATTATACTCCCCGAAAATTAGGGAAATTTAATGTTTTGATGAAACCACGCATGTCAACATAAAAATCGCTTTTATTTTAAAAGAGCCCGACCGATTATTTTCGTTTTTGGTTTAAATGACAGTGCTTGCATATCCTACTTCAAGCTCCCGAAAGACTTTTTTTAATATTTTCTAAATAATTCATCGTATGGCTAAACCCAAAAAGTCAGGGAATTTTGTCATTTTTTGTCATGAAAAACCTGGAATTGTCAGGGAATTTCATTTTGAAAATCTTGTAGACACCCTGATTTATGGGTTTTACCGACTGGCGGAACGGAGGAATCCATCGTTGGAATCCGGCGATTGACCCCGAAACCGCACCAATTCGGTGCTCATTCACGTTGACCGGTGCGCACAACGTAAACAAATCGGCCGCCATTTTGAAAATCATTCCTGTTCCTTCGTTCTCGTAGCGTGGTAGCGTGCTGGCTAATGAATCCGTTGATGAAAAAAAATATTTACTTTGTGATAATTTCGATGCGCTCGTGCCCTTAACTTGTTGAATGAACAGATAGCTGCTAATACAAAGTAGCAGCTCAATTCACAAGTTCCCACTTGAAGACAGTGCCAATGAAAAATTGTGCACCTAGGTTTGCGATGCTGCATACTTCCTGCCATATCTATACTATAAGCTCTCAAGCCTCCTAATTTTGCGAAACTGGTAACGCTTAGTTCCAGCGTTCTACCGGGCCGATGTTTATGATTTTTGCGGCAATCGACGGGCAATTGTCTCTAGATAAGCCAACTCTTTTCAGATTTTCAAAATATGGCCTAGGTTTTTTTATATTAAGTGGTAAAGTTGCGAATTCTCCCATTTAAACAATGTAAATTTATACTTCTTGTCATAGTTCGTTTGAGCGTTCTGCCGGGCCGATTTCCAAGTTTTTTGCGGTAATCGACGGGTAATTGGCCCTAGATGAGCCCGCTCTATTCAGCTTTTGGAAATAGGACCCAGGTTTTTTTACAATCACGTTATAAAAGTGAGTGAATTTTCAGAATGCTCCGAGACTGCTACCGCTATGCGCGGGAGGATGCGCAGTGGTCAAGGAGGTTGCGCAGTAGCTGTGTAGCCTGCGCATCAACTCTACACTTATCTACACAAGATTCGCTCTTAATCCGTCAAGACGAGCGGTGGCCGAGTCGTCAAAGACGTCGGAAGCGTCCACTCAGATCATGGTGTGGGTTCGATTCCCACATCCCGATATACTTAATTATTACCTGATTATCAATGATCGTTGTTTTACTGCAATATTTCATCAAGCAGTCATTCCAAAACGCGTCCTTTAGACTTCAAAAAAAAAATGTGTTTCTTTATTCATCAAAACCAAAAAGTATTATATTCTAAAAGTAAAGTATATCTCATATCGTAATTTTTTAGGGGAAAAATAAAACTAACACCGATAGGAGGGTAAAAATAGGGCCGCGAAGCGGCCCATTGACGGCGCGGAGCGCCTTCAGGGGGTTGGGCCGCGTAGCGGCCAGGGGGCGTAGCCCCCTAGTTATGTATGTCCTAAATGGTAGGATTCTCAATCTCAAGCGATGATAAGTGCCCTGATTCTTCTTGTGAGAGTAAAGAATATTCTGTGAAAATTTCAAGCAATGTTCGTCCACTCCCTTTTAAAAAAATAGTATTTGAGCAGAGATTTTAACTTAGGTACTGCAAACGAGATCCGCATGTGAGCAAGTTAACCGTTGATTTTTATTTTTTGTTGTTCTTTTTCTATGAGCAAGATACCCCCTCCCCGCCTATCGGCAGTAATTTCTGCCACAGATAAGATGTACGTAACAAATTTTTTTATTCAGGAAATGATGAACTAAACTGAGAAAAAAGTAGGCGATTAATAAAAACAAGAAGTACTATACTTTTCTTGTAATACATGTTTTTAGGCCACACAAAGTTCTGAGAGAAGTATGGGGTTCGTATGGGGTAATGAAAAATTAGTAGAAAGATGCTGGGTGGAGCATACGCCTAAGATTAGGGACCACAGCTGGGTAAGCTTAGCCATGACAGGTGGTGTGAAAAAGGTAAACAGAATTAGGTATAATGTTAAAGTAAGAACATTACAGGATAAAAAGGTAGATTATAGGTACTTAAGAAAATTACGAAGAAGAAAAACAAAACAGGGATCGTGAACATCACAATACGTATGCCATCATCTACGGTTGATAAAGAAGTCCAAGTCTGCTATGGAGGGGTAACAGTTTGAACTATAAAGGTACTCTAGTTTGAACGACTCCTGATTTATCTATCCGATTCCTCCAGCATGCTGTGCGAGGAGCGGCTCCGACCCTGAAAACATCACCAAATGTAAGTACATGAGTGCTAAATGAAGGTGGGAAGAATCAAACCTATACACGCAATATTTCTCAAAAGGTATATGCAGCTTAGGGTGGGACTTATTTTTTTAAATCGACAAAACCAAATGTTGCACGGTCTTAAATGGTTCTATGTGATAAAAAAAACACGGTAGCCAAGAGGATTTTGAGAAAAAAATGTTTTAACCCGGCGCGCACAGGGCCTAAACATCGAGATTTTTCCGGTTTTTTTGGCATTTTCGCCGTATATTTTTGATATTTTTGCCAGCAACACAGATTTGACGCTAGATGTCCAAAAATTGGTAAAAACTTAGTACATACCTTGTCTTCGGGTATCGAACTATCAGGTAGTCATCGACTTTTCATTTAAAGTTGGTTCAGACGAGCCGCACTGAGAAAAAACTATGGCTTATAAACCTATTAGAGGTAAATATGGAACACCACTAATAGTAGTACCTCTACATATAATAATAGCACATATACCTTAGTTATGGTACGGGGTACCTTAATTAGGTACAGAGACCTTAGTATGGTTCACAGACCGAGAATCATTAGTTTATTTACGACTATTATTGGTGTTCCATATTTACCTCTAATAGGTTTATAAACCATAGTTTTTTCTCAGTGCGTGATTGACATGACCGCGAAGTTCACAAGTCTCCCCTGCCGCTGAGATGCCCTTAAATTACTGTACACTCGCCCCATAGCGGAGACAGACCGCTCCGCCGAGCAATTGGTCAACGGTAAACGGTAAGATACATATGTATTGCAATGGAAAAATTCGGGTACACATCTTGCAAATTTTTCTCGAGCAGAAATTGATAGAGTTTCGTCAAAGAAAGGTCTGCCAGGCTGAGAGCTTCTGCCTTAGAATTTGAAGCAGTCGAGGCAGCTAATTTATCTAAGTAACTTATCGAATGAAGGCATTCCTCGAACAGAGAGCTTTCGAGGTCTTCCTCAAAAGCCTGTACTAACTGAGCTGCTGCTATTGAAATCCGCCCACTCTCAAGAGAGACGGGCGGGGGCTGGAGCCGCTCATGGAGTGAGCAGAGTGCCCATCCGGATGAGGGCTGCTGTGGAGCATCGTATGATGCGCCTTACGGCATTGAGCGCAGCGCTTTTTGCTCGCGAAGGCGTCATCTCGGTGGAAGGCGCTCAGGCAGCTCGCACACCGCCTTTCGTGGCGCACCAAGTTCCATCGTTCCTCGACGGTTAGGGGGGTGAAGTGGGGGCACCTGAACGTGATGTGCCCTACGTGGTTGCACACCATACACCTAAAGTGCCGGTACGTGGTTGCCGGTGGCGAAGGGCCTGGGCGGGGGGCAGGTGCCGGATTCGCCGCATCGCGAAATTCTGGGGGAGGGCTGACGGGGCGATGGGGGAAGGGCGGGGTTGGAGGGCTTGTGTCGCGGGAGGCGACCTCTAAGAGGGGGTGAGGGGATGGAGTTCTGAGGAGCTCCTCTTCTAAGCGGTCCCAAGCAGAGGGAGACGGAGTGCCGCTCGTGATGACTGGGCACAGAATATATAGGCTTCAACAGGCAGCAGGAGCAGGTCCAAGCGCAAAAATTTCGCCTGTGGGGGCTGCAACATCGATTTGAGGGAGAAAAATGCTAGCCATGATAAACAATGTGGACTGGGGGCAACACTGCTGAACCTTAAGATGCGGGTCGCTTTAGGGACCATTCTTGCTGAGGCAAGGGATAGAGCTTTAGGACCTGCGACCCTTCGACGCTCCATCGCCGCCAGATTGCTTGAAACATTCCATTTACAAGTTCCCAACGGCGGAGGCTAGACATGTCTTGATCAAAGTAAATCGGTTCCGGGGGCCAACACAAAGGGCGGCCAATGAGAAAATGACCGGGCGTCAGAGGACGAAAGTCATTAGGGTCTGATGACATAGGGGTGAGGGGGCGAGAATTCATAATCGCCTCGATGCGACACATCAATGTTATGAATTCCGCGGCGTACAGTTTTTCATTTCCGATCGTTCGTTTCAAGTAAGACTTCATACTTTTTACAGCGTACTTTTACACTTTTACTTTTAAGTCAATTTCCCCTTTCGCCCTGTGCCCCCTGCCCTTGGTCCCACCCATGACTTAGCTCGCGAACGCATGCTTCCCTTAAAAAAGCGTTTCGAGCCAAATCCGAAATTGGCGGAAAAATACCGGAAATACATGCTCGATTTTGAAAAGGATGGCTTCATGTCGCCAGTCCCCCCGAACTCCTCCCCCGAAGAGGCGTCGAAGTATTTTTTGGCCCATCACGGTGTCACCAAAACCTCCAATGGAGTGACAAAATTGCGGTGCGTTGCCGATGGCAGCGCTCCTAGTTCCACCGGCGTTTCATTGAATGACACTTTGCTGAGCGGCCCAGCCATCCAAAATAACGTCCGTGACGTCTTACTGAACTTTCGTGCCCACCCTGTGGTTTCCGCCTGTGTTATTAAGCAAATGTACTTTCGCATTATAGCGTCACAAAGACCCATCGCCCTTAGCAATGTATTTTATGGCGTGCTCACCCGTCAGAGCCGCTTAAAGCGGCTAAAATATTTGAATATCGTCACTTTCGGATTCAATTGTTCTCCCTTGTTCTTCCCACTCGAGGTATTATTACCTTTTTCATGATGGTTTTCGTCCGAAGAGGAGGTGGATAATTTGATCCGCGTAGGTTTTTTTGTGTTGCTTTTTGAGCGTGGTGTTGATGTTGCTCGTTCATTCTTGTTTATTTGGCTCTCCGTCTGTGTATCTAAGAAGAGAAGAATAGTTTCCATTGATTTTTTACTCCTCACACACAATAATCACACATAAGTATTTGGTCCTATTATAATGAATATATTAAAGAAAAGAGATTTTGTGATATTGAATATATTTAAAAAAAAGTGATTCGGTGATATTGAATATATTGAATTACAATTATCGAGAGAAACTGAATGTTTGTTTGATTTAATATTAATTTAATTAAATATGTAATTTAATTTAAATTAAATACTCATCTTCATTTATTTCGACTCAATGTCTTTTGTTTCCAATTCGGTTAAGATTTTGCACGGAATTAACAAAGATGTAAATTAAGATAGAGGTATTTTTACCTTTTTGATTATCATCTTACCCTGCAGAAGATGAAGATTCGATTCGCTGGGCGCATCTTTTGACTGATCTGCTGGGTGGAGGCGACTTTTCTAGGTTTTGGTTCAGGATCATTTTCGTCTTTATCTGCATTTTCCGCAACTTCCGGCAGAATGATCGAGTTTTTAATTTTTTTACTTTTTTGATATCGACCAGGGATCACGGACATGAATATCCCAACGCAGCCAGAATTCTCCTGGAGTCTGTTTACGTCGATGACGTCAACGGGGGGGGGGGCACCATTCGTGTCGCTAAGGAGCACCTCGAGGAGCTCATTGTTCTTCTCGCTCTGGGAGGAAAGCACAATGCACCTGGAAGAATCGTCGACAAATTATGTGCCCCTTTCGGTTATCACTCTTTTACGCAAGCGAAAACCTTACCAAACTACAGATTAGAATTTATGCAAGCAAGCGAAGAGAGGTTGCAACACTCGTTAATGAACCGTGCGTTAATCATCCTGAGTTGCGTATCTTACCATGTACCGTTTCAAGTATTACCCTCTTTTTAAAGTCAATTTCTCATTTCTCCCTTCTCTCACATCTGACCGATTATCAGAAAAGTTACGTTAATAGGTTAGGTTGCCCATAAAAGTTTGAAAGAATCCCCATACACGTTTCAAAAGTACCGTGCAAATCTACAAAGAAAACTCATAAAGAAGCAGCGAAAGACACAAAAATCAATATTAAGTATTTGATGATATACATAATCATCATGTAACCATCATAATTATAATAATCATCATATACATAATCATCATGTAACCATCATAATCATAATAATCATCATATCATATAACCATGGGTGGCGGTAGTCATACTAAATACAAAGAAAACTCAAAGACGATTCAGAATGGACGGATTTCCTGATTTTCTTCGTCGAAGATGAGTGGCTCCTGAAATATGATCAATGAAATTACATTACAACCATGTTTCTTCGTCTTTCCTCCGTTCATTCATACTTCAAAAAACATAATATGATACCGTTCGATAACCAGTACCGAAACTTTATTCTGATCACACCCTAAAAGGGTTAGAGTAATTAAGGGTTAAATTAAGTTTCGACAAGAATACCGAAAAAATGAAGGTGCTGTTTACATTCTTAAAGTTTGTTAAAAATACCCTCCGTCTACTCGTTGCTTCAACGACCGTGCTTGTTATACGGCACTCTTCTTTAGCGGCATTAACACTCCGCCATCAGGGTTGATGAACGGTGGCAGTACACTGGGGGAAAAAAAAAAAAAAAAAAAAAAAAAAAAAAAAAAAACCCACCCATTGGACCTAGAGTCCAGACTCTTAAAAACATCGACAAGAAAAAGTACTCTTGATTCAATCAGAATCTAGCTTAAATCAAGAACCAAGCCTCTTAATTTAAGCGGATTTCGTTTCGATTCAAGCAAAAATCCGATAGAATCAAGAGTATTTTTTCTTGTCAATGTTTTCAAGAGTCTGGACTCTAGATCCAATGTGGTTTTTTTTCAGTGTAAATACTCAAGAATTTCGGCCAATTTATACTTTGAGAAGCAGTGGTGCATTGTGCCATCTGCTGCGAGAAGGGATTTCGGGAAAGCTGATAGCTCGTTTTCTGTCAGGCACATTTTTAAGTTGACGTCAGATCATGATCGTGATGCAATGACTAAACGTGATAGTAAAGACTTGTCGGCCTTAATCTTTGGTAGTTAACCTCCATAGTCGATTTTGACTTTCTTCCAGGCTGTTTCACACAATCTCGGCATTACTTTTTTCATAGGAGACCAAAATTGTACCGTGCTAGTTTCAATTCGCTCACGTAAAAAATTGTAGTATTTTTCCTGTCCAATCTCAGAAATTTTGACACCACATTATTGTATTTCGGAGGAAAAAACTTGATGTGACGCAAGGTGGAATAGGATTCGTACACTCCGCAAATGAAGTCTTTAACTGCGCAACATTTTGCTCGTGTCTCAACCTGCTTCTTTTCGAAAAACTATGTTGTTGCGACATAGTTCGCTCGCCGATATTCGCAATTCTCTCGACCGATGAAACTATCGGAGTTAACGTAACATCTGCCAAAGAATAACCGAGTCCTGGCTGCTTCATCTTGCGTGATACCAGTCAACCCTTTTTGGACTTATAGTCGCCTGTTTTCGTGCTGGAGGGCTTCGTCTGCCCCAAGTGAAGAGAAGGGTATAACATTCTTACTTACCACTCAGTTCCCCTTCAAAAATTCAGTCCAAATTAGAGGATCGCTGCTCTCCAGCCCCTGTATCTCAGACAAATACAAAGATAATTCTAGCGTAATTTTGCCTATCTAAAGCAAAGAAATACTTTACGAATCTCTTTAAAGCAGCTGAAGAAAGTTTCCAATCGCTGGATCGTACAGATTTGTGGAATGTCAACATTGTTTCTACCATATCTAAATACGTTAACACAAATTTAAATGTGGGCTCATTGATCTCTTTCTTCCTGTAGAAATCATCTATTTTTTTTAAAACCCCGCTTGCGCTGACAGTCTCTCACAAAAGTAAACTGGATGCTTTTAATTTAACTGGATCTCTCTCTTCCCGAATTCATCAAGTTCTTTCTTAAACATTTCTGAATTATTTTCGTTTTCATTACTGAATTCTTCATAAAGCAAGATTGATAGTGTTGAAAAAGTCCAAGATAACGATCACTCGCTGAATCCCAAGACGGCATTGCTCTTCTCATACTCCTATACTCATTCATGAGATTGAGACCTTCATTATGAAGCTCCTGGTATAAGGTGGGAAGACGATGGTTTTCAGCTAAAATCAGGGGCACGGCGTCAAGATAGTGTTCCAAGTTTATAGCTAGTAGTGTATAACCCTCCCCTTTTTTTGAGCTGGGCACAGTAGAACGTCATCTGTGTGCCCCTCTTGACGAAGAATGCACAAATGCCAATTTATAATGACAGGTTTCTTTGAGGGGGGATCGGAAATGCTGACAACAACACATTTCTTTTCCAAATCGAAAATTTTAATTGTTAATCACCCCGAAGAACTAAAGCATCCCTAATGCTTCAATATTTAATGTTCATATTGTTCGTGAATCTATGAAGACGCTTTTAACACCCTGCTTGACAGTACCTGAAACAGCGCGCCGCCGTCGCGTTCTTTAATCCGTATAACTTGCATTTATACGCTTTATGCACTGGGCAAAGTCCACCAATCCCTATATCTTTTAACTCGAAAAGCTCAAAAATTCACTCGCATACGCACCAGCCAATCAATTATCTGGAAAATAGGAGGCCTGTGGTTCATTGAGTCACATTCCTGCGTTCTGAGAGCGCCAACGTCGTCCACTCTGTCTCAGTGCCATTTTCGATCATCTGATACGAATCTTTCAGTCGTCAAATCGAAGAAATGCGGGTCATCGAACTTAAAATACTCAGATCAAAAGACCAAGGCCAATTTCGGACTTCGGTTAGTTGAACCGAACCCGTCGGTGTACGCTACCGAAAGTTCAGTTCACCTTGCGGAAGTCTGCCCTACTGAACCCATTGGTGCATGTTTACCCAAAAGTTTTCTCTTCGCGTGGCCTTCCACCGCTTGAGAGGGTTCTCTTGAAGGTCCAAAGGCCCCTCAGAAAGGTACTTTTGGACCTCCAGCACAGCAAAGGCTGCAGCTACACTGAGAAAAAACTATGGTTTATAAACCTATTAGAGGTAAATATGGAACACCTATAATAGTCGTAAATAAACTAATGATTCTCGGTCTGTGAACCATACTAAGGTCTCTGTACCTAATTGAGGTACAGGTACCATAACTAAGGTATATGTGCTATTATTATATGTAGAGGTACTACTATTAGTGGTGTTCCATATTTACCTCTAATAGGTTTATAAGCCATAGTTTTTTCTCAGTGTAGTGCAGCATCAGCTAGGGTCCGTGGACAGTTCTTTTGCTTTTCTCGAAAGTGATTCCAAAGTACAGCAGGTTAAGCCACGCACAAGAAAGCCACAGTACATTTCAGCAGCTTTATCTCTGAATGTTCGCTCAATTTTGCCTACGATTTCCTTGTGGAAAATACGTTTTACCTCATTATCTTCAAAAGCGGGAGATTTCTTCAATGAAATAATCATCTTTCTGTGCATTCCATAGTGATATCATATATCTCACGGTGTTTCTGAGCATCACAAAGCACTTTGGAATTAAAAAGATTAAAATTATTATTTAAATATTTGGACTTAAATACCATAGGTGGTTTTTTAATTATGCTGTACTACCTCCAGATGTAGAAACATGAATATGACGGTACTCATGAAACTTTGTTAGTAACTGGAGGTCATGATACGGGGCTTTTGTAGCCAGTTGCGCGGTGAACCAAGCCATGACATACACTTTCACAATAAATATACGCAAGTCCTGAACACTTTTTTCTTTGAATGCAAATTGGGCTCTTAATAAATAGATATTTCACTGAGAAAATTGTTTTCTTCGGTAGGAGCATCTGCATCCACCAGTGGATCGTCAACAGCATAAGAGTTAATTTTTCTGATGTACGCAGTCTTGTGGAATTCTCTTTTCAAGAACTCTCCATCGACTTCGACGTCTGAAGGGAGTTCTTGTAAATAATTGCCACCTGGGCAATATAAATAAACGAAGTCTTCCAAATTGACGAGATAGTCCTGGAACCATTCAACAATCTGCCATCGCACGTCTCCAGAGTCCCAAGTTTTATAGAAGAGGCCGAAATGTTTAACACGTTTTTCAGGCACTAGCACCTCGAATTCCTCTTTAAGTGTTTGACATTTAGATTCATGTATCAATAGTACGATTTTCTTGGTGAAATTTGAATTGGATGGCTTATACCTTTTAGCCATTGAGGATGTGGCAGCAGGGGAAAATGTCAATTTATTCTTTTTTTCTTTCAGCTTTCTCCCAAAATTAGTTGATTTTCCGCTAAGATCGGCAAGTGTCGGGTTCTCAATGATCCTATTAAATAATGTGTTGATCCTGTCACCCATATCCTGAAACATAAATATATATCGTGTAGGTTTTAGTCTGTGAATTTCAATCTGCTGCAGCATGACACGTAGAAAAGAGAAAGATTCAAAGGATCTCATCATTGAAAGTATCACTGTTGACGCTGAAAAGAGTTAAGGGAGATGCGCTGAGTGATGCCTCTCATACTAAATGAAACGTAACCCTTTTGCTCGATTGCTACTATTGTCATCCTTCAAAGAGACTTGCAAGCAAAAGGTAGTGGATTTGAACAATGTCAGAAAGGTCGACTTGACTGACATGTGTGCGAATAAATTGATACATTATCTGAATCATTTTAAAAAAGTTATCGCAACATATCTACGAAACAATAAAAGCAGCAGTAAACCAAGGATTAATAAATACTGTGAACACCAATCCTACTCATAACTACACCACGAGACATAAGTTCGTACACAGAGAAAGCCTTAGAGAATCCAGCAGAATCCAGTAAGGATTCTCTAAGCTGCAGAGCCAAAAACCTGTAAAATAAATTACCCGAATGCTTGAGAGATTTGATCAAAAATAATAACTCTACTATTCATTTTGTAAAAAAAATTAAAAGAATATCTAAAGGTGAACCCGTACTATTCCCTGAAAGTACTCAGTGAAAAAGCAAATTGTAAACCAATTAGTCAGTAAGATCTGCTAAGAAACTGTATAATGACGTGTACTTTAGCCCACAAAAATTGTAGGCTCCATTTACAAAATGTAAAAATAAAAAAAAAATTAAATTTAAAAAAAAAAAAAAAAGGTACACCGACGCGACTGACCGGGATCGGAGCTTTCGCACATCCGAAGCCGCATGGTTTTCTTTCTCGACCGAAGTTTGACATTCTTTTTCATTTTTAATCGACACAGCACTGAATTTCCGATAGCTTGTTAAGTGGTATTCACACGTGTTTTTTGCTTTATCGGCCTAAATTAATTCAGAATACTTAAAGTGCAAGTTTTGTCTAACTTTCAGAAGTTCTCTGTACCTCAAGAAAGACTCGTCAATGAATTGCACAACTTTTTCCTGAGCACTACCTCATCGATCACAAATAAAACAATTCAACGCTCTTTCGATGGATCAAAGTGCTTTATTGCTCCCGGCAACTCATCTCGAACCACCTCGAAATTTTTCACGAAAATATACGACGCGGCGATTTTTTGAAACGAAAGGATCACGAAAACGCATATATGTATGGATGCATATGAGGGACGCCGGATACGCTCAATGGAAGGTTGGTTGTTCGGTCCGGTTTATAGACAGAATCCTCCGGTACCTGGAGAAACAAAAGTTATCTCGATGAAGCACAGAACCTACTTCAATGAATAAACCTCCACATCTGAAATCAAGAAATTAATCTCCTCTACACCTTTAATAACAATATCCGTGGATGTTTAACACATTTATTCACCCTCTCTGATCATTCCGAAGAAAATTACAAAAAAAATAGTTCACAAGAATATTTCGAAAGGATAACAGAAGTTTTCTTATATTCATGTTGGCGAAGCGAATTTTTATTGAAACTCATTATTGAATTCATTTGCAAGTTCATTCGTAAGTGTGAATGGGTGATCCCATTATAATTTAAGTCTTTCGAAGTTTCTGTTGTAGCATTAACTGGTGCAAGCGCAGTTATTGCAACCTTGGGTTATTTCTAAATTTTCAGCATGACATCTCTCGGGCCTCCATTAATGTACATTTTACGTTTTGCTCCCAATCGCCTTTGAACCATCGTGCCAATTGCATCCAACAATCTCAATTTTCGTCTCACTCGTTCTCGCGTGACAGAGTATCTCTTTCCTTATACATGTCAATGGCATAGATTTCGCCACAGGTAGGATTTTCCCTCGCATGAAGAAACTTAGTGAATATTTGTCTGAAAGCATTCTCCGTTTTTTTTTCAATACAACCAACGTATCATAGGTTGGAGGGCCTCATCCAGGCGTTTCTGCGTTTTTTTGCATCTTTCAGATCTAAACGGGAGGTGATCAAACGTCGATTCATCTGTCTTACTTCCCAACAAATTCCAGCAGTCACGAACTAAGATACAAAGGCCTCTCCAGCAGCAGGGGAGCATAAATTAAGGTCCAGCCTGAGGTCTTCTATGCCCTGTGTAATAACAGCACCAATACCCCTTTTATGAGGAAATTTAGTGAATATGTGTCTGAAAGCATTCTTCATTTTCTTTCAATGCAACAAACGTATCATAGGTTGGGGCAGCAAGTTTACCTAAGTCAGTACCTAAAACTTCGCTATGAGCCTTGAAATACATGAAAAGTTGATAATTCTCTGTCATCATTCTCTCTTCGTCTATTTCTAAAAGAAGTTTGTCCTTGCACATTTCACATGGATATTTTCTTATGAAGTTTCTAGTTAAGAAACCGAAGCAGTAATACAAAGCGTTTTTTTCCACTATCTCAAAATATTTCTCCCGATCAAAATTTTCAAACTCAGCTAAGAGGTTCGTGGCCGAATTTTTTGAAGGCGTTTCAATCCACGTTGACGTATCTGGCAATTTGCTGAGACTCACAAGCGCTCTTTCGATTTCATTTTCGCAATTAGAGGAGCGGCTGATTTTTGGGAAGCTGGAAGGAGTTAAGCTCAGTAACCCATGTTCAAATTGAGCTAGTGTTGGATTATCAGCACATCCATGCTGCTGCCTACTAACGGCGAAAAGGTGTAAAGGTCGACTTTTCCGGCTAGGGGAAAAGCCGCCTCATGGGACCGGAGTACTGGAAGGGTGAAGAGTGAAACAGCGAAAAGAGGACACACGGAGTTGGAAGGAACCCAACTCAACCGCCCAACCTCCACACGAAATAGATCACACACTATCACTACATACTGAAACTAGAGGTAAAACGATAAAATCAGCCCCGAAGGGCTGACTTCAAAAACGACCTACATCATGAGACGCGGTTTCCAAGACGAGAATGGCGGGAGGCAGACTTGTGTTTTCGGGTTCCTGCACCTACGCGCTGTTGGCGGAGGAAACTAGAAACAGAAAGTTTCAAAACTTTGGCGGGAGGGCTACTGACTCTTCACACAAGGTTTTCCAAAAAGTCTTTGCTCAGCAAATGCGTACGAATGACCTTCACCCCATGATTCACAGTCAAATCTATAATTTAGAGAATGACTGCGCGAATTGTGAAAATCTAGCCTTTTACACAATCTGGTTGGCTTTTCGCATTCAAAAATGTTTCACCTCGCAGAAATTTAATGATTTTCACCAAGAATTTAATATGCTCTGATTTCATTGACATAGCATACCTCAGTCTCGCAATTTATCCTCATGAATTGCATAATGTTGAAACAGTCAATGAGATCATTCATGTCTTTTACACATTTTTCCAAGTGGACGGCTGTACCTGGTAGCTATTGTTCAGGGCTATAAACACATGAATGGCAACGTGGACAGAATGCGAGAAAATTTGGGACGCTAACTTTACTTTCGTCTTCTTAAAGCTGCTACTAAATTAATCATGGCCTCTCGTTATTTTAGGAATGAGGTTTAATTTTAAGGGTTCTTGCTGCTCATACAGGGACACACTATGTCCTTCCATGAGGCAGTTCCATCACACCATTCGAGATCATTCTCATACCTACGTATTATTGCGCATGGATGTTTAAAGATGCGGAGATGCATTCATCAGAGATTTCTGATATAGGTACTTCTTCCTGGGAAGAATTATGGTAAAAACTCGATGATACCACCTGTTTCTTCAAACACTAAGTAGAAAGGTCAAAAAGAGTGACAGTGTGGCGGCACAGGATGCGGTAGGATCAAGTACTGCTCACGGTCTGTAAAGGTCTCTAGTAGGAATTGATTACGATATGCGCGTATCCTGCACACATTAAATTGAGTCGCAAAACCCTGATAGATTTGCCGTCTATGACAAACTGAGTAGCAAATTAATGTAGGTAGGTATAATTTACCTTTGACTCGATTTCGGTAGAAAGCTGAACAAAAAAATGCCTTCGTCTAAAAGTGCAGACCTGCTGCACACAACACACCTTCGATTGCTCACACCCGCTCACACTCACTCACAACACGCTGGATACACACTGGGAATTTAGAAATCTGATAGAAACTGAATTTAGAAATCGGAACTTCTGAACGTACTATTTTCACTTTTGAATTTGGACGAAAACTAATTTTGAGGTTATGAACTTGACAACAATTAGGTTATCGATCGAAGCGCTCCTTGCGGCTGTTTCTGTAACTGCATGACGTCAATTTTAAACAAGCCCGCTTCCCGCCTTCCGGTACCGGATTCCTCGTTCAAATTAGAAAAGGGGGGAGAATTAAAAGAACGGAGAAAGGAGATAAAAATAAAAATGTGTCTTTCGCCCTACAGTGATAGGTTCGCTTCCAGTTTTCCCTCTCTTGTAGCATCCAGCCCAGTCCTGGTTTTACTGTACTATATACAGACGTATACCTCCACCACGGCCAAAAACACGGCCACACCACGCCAATTTTTTATTCTGTTCAATTTTTTATTATGGAATTTGTTCACTGTATCGTAATATAATTTTGTTATATTGTTACAGTTCGACTCCTCAGTCACGAGTAACGCCTCTCGGTGCCTCAGCGTCTACCAACGTTGAACCCCGGGCAAGATTGTCCAGTAGCAGCTCAAATGGAACGAATACTGGACCCAGACAGAGATTGTCGACAAACAACTCCGATTCGCGGAAATTGACAGGCGATTCGTCTAAAAGAAGCGCACAGTCAAAAAGGTATGCTCAGGGTCGAACTCACCGATCGGGACTCTCATTTTTTCCCGTATCGTTGTTGTCCTGTCGTTTCGAGGATTTCGGAGGCC